AGTCGACTTGGACTAGCCCATCTCTGACGCTGACGAACTTTTAACAAATGTATTGATTCTAGCTTATGAATGATAGAGGTTTTAAACGGGAATTAGACAAAATACAAGTTGTATGCATTGACAGACAAAATAATTGTGAATGGTTTGGTATACTAAAAGATTATCAGGTAAGTTTTTCTATCATTTTGTTTCTTAGGTTTAAAGTTAATCAGTTTGTGTTCTTTTTAGGAACATTATGATAAATGTCATTCAGATCATCTTTGTATGTATTGTCATGAAACGTTTTTATCAAAATCGGATCTGGATAAACACATCAATGACACATGTCCAAAAGCTGTAGTGTCCTGTTCGTTGACTCAATATGGATGTCCAGAACATGTAAGTTGCATTCCTGTAATGCTTGAATAAGTGATAATAAGTATAGAAAATGAAAGGGATAGCCTTTCTCGTTCAAAGATCATATGCAAAGATTCCCATTCGAGCTGATAACTTATTTGAGTAACATAAAATGTGCCTTTCGCCAGAATGTAACAAATTTGTCTTGACATCGAATATTTGAAAGATTCTGTAAAACCCGACGGTTTTCTACAAAACCTAGATCTCGGTCTAGGAGAAAAACTACATAAAACTACTATTACCACACATTCAGGCTATGTCGACGCATATTCTGCGAAACTTTTAACGAATTTGGAGCTTCGGAAAATTTCGGAAACTCATTACACTGAACATCGCCTCGTTTGGGAAAAAACTGTTTGTCGCTAAAAGACTTGATCTGAGATGAGCTTTTCTTTTAGCAATAGTTAGCTAGCAGCGTACTGATTCCAAATAACACGTTTGGAAACTTTAAATGTAATTCATTTCAATAAAAAAATTTGATTTTACATAGAGGTCACGAATATACGAGATATTGACTATTTTGACTATTCTGAAGTTGACTATTCAGGGAAATTTTTGTATTAAATACCAGATTTTTGAGACAACAAGGATCATTAAAAGTTAGTTTTGAACGAAGAAATCAGTATAAATGGAGAAACCAGTAACGGCAAAGATATTTTCCCCGTCAGTTATACGCTGTGTTCAATCAAATTAAAAAGGTTCTAGTGCTTTTAGTTCCTAAAAAATAATGTTCTGTATAACATTCGGGCGGTCTATTTTGCATCTTCCTTCATATGCTCAGTAAGGTATAATTCTTTTCATGAATAGTATTTTGATGATTGATATTTGCTCCAATTTTTAACAGAGGAGATGTAAATAGAACAGAGGTTTTTGGTTACGGATAATTGCGGGTCCTCAAAGGATACTGGGCTTTTTATGGGAAATACCTACAAGAAATATCTATTGAATTAATTACTGAAGTTGAAATAGATCATGGCGGTTTGTTTTAGCTGGTTTTTCTGCACAAGCCAATATTATTAATTTAGTTATAATCGGATATTTTATTTTATTTGCAGATTGAAAGATTGGATTACGGAAATCATTTAACATCCGCTGAACATCAAAGTAGCGTATTAGAATGTCTCAAGCATTTCCAGTCTTTAGTTCCGCTAGTGAATGATGCTGGTATGCAATACCATACAACCATGAATTCTGAGTACACTGCTAACACGATGATTTCTTCTTCTTCAAGGCAACACTTTCATTTGAGAAATAATCAAAAGAATATGAAGCAACAGACGAAAATGGAGTATGAGAGTAGAGAAGAGCCAGCGTCAAATCATGCTATAATTCCGTTAAGTGATTGTTATTCTCAATTACAAACATGCAGTGAGACAGTCATGATTTTATCACAGGGTATTCAAACGTTGAGTCATGATGCGACTAGGTTGAGTACAGAGGCTCTAACACAACAAAGTCTGATGCAATTGGCTCTTAGTGAAGTTAATCAATTAAAGATATCGATAGCAGAAAAGGAGTCTAATTCAAATGCAATTGCATCAAATCAGGAAGCTCTTCTGCAGGAACTATCAAGTTTAAAAGAAAAAGTTGCGAATATCGAGTTTGTGTCCACTGATGGTACTCTGACTTGGAAGATAACCAACGTCTCTGATAAAATGACAAATGCACAGTCTGAAAGACCATCAAGCATCTACAGTCCCCCATTTTATAGTTCTCCAGCTGGGTATAAAATGAAGGTACGATTATACCTTTATGGCGATGGGAATGCTCGTCGAACGCACATCTCATTATTTTTTGTAATAGTGAGGGGAGAGTATGATCAAATACTCAAATGGCCATTTAATCATACGGTAACATTTTGTTTATTGGATCAATCCGGACAGAATCGACATGCTATTGACTCGTTTCGGCCTGATACAAAATCGAATAGCTTCCTGAGACCACAATCTGAAATGAACATTGCCAGTGGTATCCCTAAATTTTTTCCTCTGCCCATGATTCAGCAAGATAATAACAACTATGTCAGAGATGACACGATGTTTATTAAGGTTATTGTTGATTTTGCCGATTTATCAAAAATGATCCTGCCATATATGCTGAGTCTAAATCCAGGCTTACCGCATCATGTACAACAGTACATAATTCAACAAGAAATTCAACGAAGGCAGAATCTTGCTCAGACTCCAGTCAGTCCGCTTCCTAATCTTGAGGCTGTTTGAAGCGCTAAAGTTCGCAGTGTTTTGGTATTTTTCATATCTTTGTTTACCGTATTTAACCTAGATCCCGATGGTGGACATTTTTTTATAACATTTTTAAAAATTTGAGTTTTTTTGAATTTATTGATTAAAGAGAAGCTTAATCGAGAAAATCCGACTTTTCTTGGTAGTTAATTTCCTTTTTTATCCTCAATCTCACTGACAATCAGCAAAGAAAAGGCTCAAGAAAATCAAATCTTTCCAGTTGTTTGGCACTTACACTGTCAATAAGTTAGTAAGTATAACAGCTTATTTCTCAATGTTATTAAGCTTCAGCTTTGTTTTTTCACGCAGTGGTAGTTAAAAAAGTATGACATATTTAATAGATCTCAGATGGAGATCAACCTTGAATATTAGTCAGTAAATTTTGTCGCCTGATGGATCATGGAGCGTTTAAAAACAGAACATTTCTGTCTTCTGCTAACGTTAAGTATACCAGATCATGTTTGACAATTGTTTTTTCATGAAAGTAGTGGCCTTTATTATTACTAAACTTCAAAAACCTAGTGAAACATAACACTTATGCTAATTATGCCCTTGAAAAATATTTGACAGCAGAAATAAAATGTGACAGTCTAAACCAACGGGTGGGGCAGAATAAACCGAGTTTTCCGTATTTTCCTCTTTTTCGCTCCTTAAAATCCTGTCCGACTAATTTTTTTACCAAAAGATTCCTCAACCAACATCCAAAAATTGTTCTAAAAAAGATTTGGAAGTGGCATTCGATAAAGCGCTAAATGTAACATAATTTTCAAGGTTTCAACATTTAAGCTGATCAGGTGGCAAATTTATAAAATATGCCGCAAAACTAGTTTTCCATGCATTTTTATAATGAGTGCAAAATGGTCAAAAAAGGATGTCATCTTACTTATAACCATAATATAGCTCATTCCAAGGACTTTTTAACAGAACAAAGCTGAGCTCTGAAGTTCTTTGTCTTCTTGAGTTATTAGGCTCACAAGCCGTCGACCCTGACCAAAAAGAAGACTTTGAAAGGTGCCGTTACCTAGCAGTATACTGACGGTGTTGTCACCGGAATTTGCACGGCTTTACGTTAGTAGTGGTAGTCTTCACTCTTTACTGTAGCAAACAGTGGAAAAGTGTTTTTCTGAGGTATCCGAACTCACATAGCATTGAACTCGTGACGTTTTCAGTGTTGATAGTCGAAACGCAAGTAAAACGTTTTACAGCTAATGGAGCGCATCTTCCGCTGATAGTGCTACTTGTTTCACGTCAACTGTTTCTTCTCCATTTGAGTTGGGACTCAGCTCATCAAACTTGTACGCTAGATTACATTGGAGCTGAATCTATTTCCTTACCACGTTTGGTGGACGGTGCTTTAATGATTATCATCAAAAATTTCCAAAATAGTTGTAGAAAATTCCGTCAGAATATTGCTCGGTAACGACAATGGAACGTTTTGAACTCAGGTCAGATATACCCCTAGGAGTATTCTAACTGAGTGATAACAGGTGATTTCAATGATGATAACAGTACTGATGTAGCTGTTGCATATCACGATGATAGCAGGGCCATTATACTGCTCGGTAACGGCGACCGAACATTTCAATGTCAAGTCTGGCATTAGGAAATCTCCTTATCCTAAAATAGCCGCAGAATGTTTGACAAGCACAGCAGTCACCGTTTGTATCCAATTCGACACAATCATCGCCAATAAACGCGACCCACTCACCACTTGACTGGCACAATTAAAAAAGATTCTAAGCTTTTCTTTCAGTGTAGATAAAATATCTAGCTATGTCTTGATATATAAAACTATCTTCGAATGGAAGTTGGAGAAGTGTCTCACCAGTTTATTTCTTTTAAGCTGGGGGGGGGGGGCCCGCCCCCGCCCGGGGGGGGGGGGGGGGGGGGGGGGGGTGGGGGCGGGGGGCGGGGGGGGGGGGGGGGGGGGGGGGGGGGTGGGGGGGGGGGGGGGGGGGCGGGGGGGGGGGGGGGGGGCGGGGGCGGGGCGGGGGGGGGGGGGGGGGGGGGGGGGGGGGGGGGGCGGGGGG